TTTAAAGGATGTGTTCAAGGCATGTCTGAGCAGAAGACTTTTTGGCTCTGTTTTAATTAATAGTTTAAAATAATTCATATTTAATATAGCAGATGTTTCCATGTAGATCAGGATATTTAAATGCCTCCAGATTGCATTCATTTTTATCTGTGATTTCTCATAGAATCAAAAGTTCATTTCCATGGAACAAGTATGTATTTGTCACCTTATACATACATTACCATGTTCAAGATGCAATAGGGGATAGAGAAATGAATTAACCCACAGGCTCCCACAGGCCCAGTGTAGTAGATAAGAGATTCATGTATGAATGATTTGAATAAAAGGGAGGCTCTGATAAATGCTATGGTAAATATATATACATAAATATATATACATATATATAAATACATATACATATATAAATACATATACATAAAAATATATATACATAAAGCCTGTTAGCATACTTGGGATGTTGATGGCATTTTTACATGTTTTTGAAATTTACATGTTTTTTAAATACTCAATTGTCATATATCTTAATTTTAGTTTTGAAGTATGAATTCAGGAGACCTAAGGAATATTTCCCACTGGAAGATGGTTGTGAAGTATATAGAATTTATATTTTCGTATTTTTATGTGATGCATTTAGGTTTTCCTTAAATAAAACTAAATTGACCCAAGTTAATACGTAGCAAACTAAAATTGTATGGAAATATACAAAGCCTTAACAGAACTAGAATATTGCTACATCCACACTCACTTAGCTACTGATTATAAAAGTGATCATTGACAAGCACAGTGTGGCAAAAATGGGCGAAAGGCCTTTGTCTTTAAACCAATGTGACATAAAAACTTATGAGGAGCAAGTCAGTGAGGAGGGAAGGCTGAACATTGCTGTGTCCATGAGAGAAGGCAGATGCAAGGAAGAGGCTCATAAGTAAAAGGGAAAAAAGGGCCACATTTGCTCTGAAGAAGTGGCCAGTATGGGACTGTGGAGTCTGTGGGGTGGTGTGGACAAGTGACCATGCTTGTCTCCTGTGGGTGAGGCCAACAGAAGGGCACAGAGTGTGAAGCCAGGTAGGTGCCCTTGTATTGGGGAAAGAATATTTCAACTCAGGTTCAGAGAAGAATTTAGACATTTAAAAAATTTAGATACACTAATATAGAGGGGCAGTAATGAAAGAAAGAAATATTCTTAAAAGGGAAGTTCCAGTTATCTAACTGTGAAAACCTGAAAGATTGTTGAGAAAGGAGAAGGAGGGGTGGGGAGAGGGAGGGAGGGAGGGAGAGGGAGGAGGGGGATGGTGGGGGATATGGAGAATGACAGAGGGAGAGAATAATATAACCAAAGAGGCATTTTGTGACAAAATATGAACACGATCCATCACAATTGTATGGGACCCTAAAGCTTCCTGACAAATTGCACATTTCATATCAGCCAAAGATAGTGAAAAGAGGTTTGTGCAGACAATTGTGCACAGATCTGCTGTTAGGCAGCTAGTGCCCTGGTGAAAAATGGCAGAGTAAATACAGAACTACACAGCCTCAGGTTACCTCCATTTCTGTGATCAAAGGAAATAATCATCACCCTGTATAAAAGGGTTGAAAACACATAAACAGGAGAAAATCAGAGTCCAAGACAGTTGAGAAGATGATAAAAGTGCATCCTATCGATTTAAGTGACTCACATCCATAGGACTAGATGAATTATTTCTCACAGAGAGCACTGGGAATATTGTGATTAGGATCCCAGCAGCAGGTTCTATAATTTTTGAGACATCGTGAAGAAGAAAGGTGTGAGTAGATAGGAGACGGGCATGGCCAACATTTTAAAACAAATAGAGAAGATAAGTTTTGGAAACTGAAAACCAATGATGCTGAACTCAAGCTCCTCAGTATGATTCTGAACAGATCTATCCATTCATCATCATTTATCCACTCATCAATCTACGCATCTCTATTCATTCAGCAAATATTGATTGAGTACTTCCTGTGTGCTAGGATATACTAGAATATATTCTAGAATATACTAGAATATTCTAGAATATACTAGAAAACAAAACAGAAATAGATCTTGCCTTAATAAAACTCAGAGTCAAATGGGTGAATTATTAAACATATGTTGTGAGTTTTAAGAGGGCAATGGTTAGGTCTGGTTGCTATAAAAGCATACGAAGTTCAAGGGGAGGGGGTCTCGATCTCAATGTTAGGGCATTTGTTACTGTAAGTGCCAGAAACTCAGTTCAAACTGGCTGAAGCAAAAGAGTGTTTTATGGCTTGTGTATGTGAGAAGTCCATGGACAGGGCTGGGTATATACATCCAGATACCACGTACCACTAGGATTTCACCTTCTTCTCTCTGCTTGGCTTTCTTCAGTGTTGGCTTCATTCCCCCATTTCCATTCCCAGGCTCCACACACCTTCCCCCACACCCCACAATCTTTCTCCTCATGATGCAAGACAGTTGCTAGCAGCTCCAGGGTCACATTCAGGCTTCAGAGAAACTCCAATGGAAAGAGTCTATATTTTTCCTTATAGTTCAAGCAGAAGTATAGAATGAACCTCACCTGTATCAATATGGATCATGTGCACCTTCCTGAATCAGTTATGTAGCCAAAGAAGACCAAATACACTGCTGGTCCTGGCCTGGATCAAAGTAAGATGCCCCCTTCTACAGCCAGGAGTAGAGTCAGCCCATCTATGAACATCGATGTCTCTTTCTCTTTCTTTCTCTGCCTGATTTCGCTGGTTATGTCCTACAATATAGAAGTCGTGAGACTGGACATCATTCATTGCCTTGTTTCTGTTAGGGGAAAAGTACTCTATTTAATATTCTTGCCACCAAGGATGATGCTAGTTTCAGGTTTTTCATATGTGCTCTTTATCATGTTAAGTTTCCTTCAATTCCAAGTTTATTTAGAGGTTTATCATGAGTGAGTGTTATATTTTATCAAATGCTTTTTCTGCATCTATTGAGATTGTGAGTTTTTTGTCCTTTAGTCTATTAATGAAATTTATTGCATTAATTGATTCTTGACTATTAAACCAACCTTGCATTCCTGTGATAAAACCTATTTGGTCATTTTCCTTGAGGTGTATAATCCTTTTTATATGTATATTAGTTTCCTGTGACTGCTATAGTAAATTGCCACAGATTTGGTGACTTAAAACAGGAAATCCATTCTCTCACTGTTCTGGAAGCCTGAAGTTTAACATCAGTATCAGTGGGCTAAAATCAAGGTGTCAGTGGGGCTGCACTCTCTCCAGAGGCTTTAGGAGAAAATCTATTTCTTGCTTCTTTTAGCTCCTGGTGGTGGTTGGTATTCCTTGGCTTATGGTCACATTACTTCAGTATTCAAGGCCAGTATCTGAAAATATCTCTCTGCTCTGATTTCACCCTGCCTGCTCCTTTCTTTCACTGAATCTCCTTCTGGCTTCTATTTATTAGGAAACAGTGATGATATTTAGGGCCCACCTGGATAATCCAGGATAATCTCTCCATTTTGAAACCCTTAATTTAATCACTCAGGCAAAGACCTCTTCCCCCCTCCCCAAAGAAAGTAAGATTTATAGGTTGCAGAGACTAGGATCTGATATCTTTGAGATCCATTATCAGCCTACTACCTATGTTGAATTTAACTTGCCAACATTTTTTGGGTATTTTGTTTCTATATTCAAGAGGGATATTGGTCTGAGTTTTTTTGTTTGTTTGTTTTCTTTTTTTTTTTTTGTCATCTTGCTATGGCTTTGGTACCAGTGTAATACTAGCCTATAGAATGAGTTGGGAAGTGTTCTCTCCTCTTCTATTTTCTGAGAGAGTTTGTGAAATATTGGTATTATTTATTCTTTAAATGCTTGACAAAATTCACCAGTAAAGCCATCTGGGTCTGGATTTTTCTTTGTAGAAATATTTTACATTACTTATTCAGATTTTTGGTATTTTTTGTGGTTTTCTTTCCCCCCCCCCCACCGTTTTTGGCTATGAAGATTTTTAATTTCTTTAGTCAATTTGGTAATTTGCATCTTCCTAGCAATTTGTCTATTTCATCTAAATTGGCTAATCTGTTGGCATACAATTATTCTTAGAATTCCCTAATAATCTTTTAAATTTCTGCAAGATTAGTGGTAATATGCCCTTTTTATATATTAATTTGGGAAACTGTCTTTTTTCTTTTTTCTTGGTTAGTCTAGATAAGATTTGTCAATCTTGTTGGCATTTTCAAAGAACCAACTTTTGGTTTCAATGATTTTCTCTATTGCTTTACCCTTTTTGTATACTTTCTGGAGGCTGTATTCTGAAAAAGAAATGAGCAGATAGTTTCACGTGGCAGAGAGTGGAACTCAGATGAGTGTATAGAAGTTGTAAAGAAGTGAACATGATTCCAGAACATAGACTCTGGAGTCAAACAAATTTGGACTCAAATTTTGGCCTGCCTCCTGTGCTAGTTATAGGTATTAACTAAGATAATGCATGCTGCTCTAACAGGTATATCTCCAAAACTCAGGAGCTTAATAAGTAAATGCTTATTTCTTGTTCTTGAGAGAAACTGCCCATGGAGGAGGATTTTATGATCCATGCCCCAAAGTAGAGAATATCACTTCTGTACATAGTCCATTGACCAGACCTAAGGGAGGCTGGAAAATTAATCTAACCACATGGTCAATAGGATAAGAAAATCTCTTTGATGAGCCACTGGCTAGTCTATGCCACCCTGTATAACTTAGCATTTAACTACTTTTTGAGCTTCTGTTGCTTTAAGTCTAAAAGAAGGATACAGGCATACTTTGGAGACACTGTGGGTTTGGTTCCAGACCATCAGAATACAGCAAATAATCGCAATTAAGTGAGTCACACAAATTTTTTGGTTTCCCAGTACATAGAAACTTACGTTTATGTGATACTGTAGTCTATTAAGTGTGTGTAATAGCATTATGTCTAAAAAACAATGTATGTACCTTAATTAAAAATTCCTTTATTGCTAAAATATGCTGACACAGAAACACCAAGTTGAGCATATGCTGTTGGAAAAATGGTGCCAATAGACTTGCTCAACACAGGGTTGCCACAAACCTTTAATTCGTAAAAAATGTAATATTTGTGAAGTGCAATAAAAGGAAGTGTGCTTGCAATGTCTGTCACATGGGCGTCCCCATGCTGCTCACTATCTGGCACAAGATGGGAATTTAAAGAACATTTGTACCATGAATGGATGAAGTTGGTTTATGGTCTGCTCCTGGCTTAAAACCATATTTGATTCATAGTAAAGATTCTATACATGAGAATAGTTGCTGCTGTGATTATTTTTTGAGACTTTAGAAAGGATTAAAGCCAGGAAAGAACATATTAAGCTGAAGTTTGAAGAACAAAATTCCCCTCTCTGGAAGTTTTCAGGCAAAGGCCAACTCTTAGGGAGGTCACAGCATAGAGTCCTGCCCATGTTTGTACTCTGAGGCTACATGATCTAGTGGGACATCAGACACCCCGTAGTTTCACTTGCTATCCTGTGACTTTGCTTAAGACACTTTACTTTCCTGAGGCTCGGTTTCCTCAGTTCTAAAAACCTACTTAGTGGTGTAGCCATGAAAATGCAATGATATAAATCATAGGAAACTGTGGAACAAAGCAGGTGCATGCGGAGTGTAAGTGCTTAGTCAATATTTGTTTTCTTCTCTTCTATTTCACTTCCTTCTTTATGGTTTCCTGTTTTATGATACAGGCAATAGTCTATATTAATTGTATTTAAAATGATTGTTTATTGTAATTTAAGGTGAAGAGAAAATTCCTGGGTTGGGAAGAGGGATTACAGTTCTGCAGTTTCCCAACCCTTTCTCTGCACAAATATAATCACAGAATTACACAATCTGAGACCTGAAGGCAATGTTTTCTTTTACTTAGAATTTAAGGCATGCATGTTTGTAGCAAATAGCTTCTCAGAACTTCTAAGAGCTATTTATGAACAAATGAGTCATGAATCAGAGTTTCTTACAGTCAATCAAAGTTGATGGAGGGTAACCAATTACATAACTTATTTCCTAGGGAAACTAATTATATATCACTTTTTTGTAAGAAGATGGTAAATGCCAATTGAGAAGCTCAAGGTTAGCAAAACAGAAACAGAAGGTAATGATTGATTTCTATGTGATTGCTTTATGATCACATGCAGTATAGCTGCCTTGTTCATCAGAGACAATGTAAAATCCTCCCCTGTCCCTTCCCCCTTTCCAATTCATAAAAGTCAACATTATTTAAAAACAAAACAAGAAGTTTAGAATTAGGATAAAACCTATCCAGTGATCCAATGATTTTAGGGAAACAAAATATTTACTCAGGTGGTGGTTGTGGTGTTTTGGCTTTTTCTCAGCTGCTATGCATTTGTGATTTTCACTTGTGCAATACCACTTTATTACTTGGAGCCATTACTTCCCATCTTTTGTTGTCAATTGGGTCCTGAGGTTATTCCAGCACCTGAAGAAAAGCCACCATCTACCTACTTTTAGAGCTTTTAAGATAAACCCATAAACCGGGAGGAAAGCGAGTGAGTTACCGTTATCAATATGGAATGTGAGGTTTCCTGTGCAATAGCACCACCGCTTCTAAGTCACCATGGCTGGCACTTCTCAGAATAAGGAATGATATAATAAATAATGTGTGTGTGAAGTGAAAGCTTTGAGCCATGGAATCAGCTAACATTTAGAATTTTATTAGGGACAAACTGTCTCAGATGTTCTTAGTGCTATTACCCCCTTGTTAAAGCTGGTAATTCTTGTTTTTAAAGCACTTTGGAGACACTCATTGATACATGCTGAAAAAAAATAGATATTCCTTTTTTCCTTAAAAACTTCCCATGAGACTTTAGAACCATATAAGAATAATACTCTGATTATTCAAGTGGGTGGATTTTACAGTCTTTATTTTTTATACTTTAATCATTTTAAGAGATCTGAGCTTTCCTCACCACGAAGTGCAGACTTGGTGCTGTATGATTCCCTTGGTTAGGAGGAAGGGCAGAACCCACCAGAGACCCTGGACCTCTGTGGGCAGCTGCCTCCATTAGCTCCTGGTAACACCAATCAGCTCCTGACCTCATTATCAAAGTGGGAGGAGGTAATACAAAATCAGAGAGATGGCCCAGAGTAATGGCGGCCACCCAGAGCACCCACAGAGGGTGTTTAAACAGGACCAGTTGCAACCCTGTGCCTGTGAATAATTGCCAGGTGGGAGTATATGCTCAGTGTTGCCAGATCCACCCATTTATCAGGAAAAGCTGGAAATTATCCATGCTGTCTGTCTGCATTCAAGGAAGGAAGAAGGACAAAAGGTAGGACCAGCCATTTATCAGCCAACACTTGCCCTGGCAACTCCTAACAGACTTCTACTTAAATCTTATTGGCTAGAACAGATCATGTGGTCACATTAGTTGCAGAGGAGGCTGGGAAAGTGAAAGTGAGTATTTATGTCCTCAGCCATCATGGTAGAAATAATTCCAGTAAAGGAGGTTAGGACTTGTTGTAGGCCAGCTGATTTGAACACTGCCTCCTAACATGTAGATATTTTATTGGCTCTATTTTAAAAGAAATAAAACATGTCAGATATGGCCCACAGACCTTCAGTTTATGACTTCTACATAAGACAAACCCCCCAGCTAGCCCTGGTACTCTCTCTGCCTTTCATTTCAATATTATACTATCTTCTGATTCACTGGCTCCAGTCTTCTACCACCTAGGGCTTGCCTTGCTTTTTTTGTTGTTGTTTTCTCCATGGAATCCATCTGTTGGAACATTCTGTCTACAAACTCCTTTTGTTAGGTAATAATGAGTTTTCTCATTTTAAAAAATTCAACAAAGACTTGCAGAGCTGCCAAGCAAAGCCTCTGATCAACACAAGATAACCAGCAGGAAAGTTGGTATAATTCCAGACAGCAGTAAAAAAAATAAAATAAAAAAGACATTTTAATTAGTCTGTGCTGCTTTATCTTGGGTAAATGGATACATTCCACTAGGCCAGGGGTTACTAACTTTTTCTGTAAGAGACCAGATAGTAATATTTTAAGCTTTGGGGGGCATAAGGTCTTTTTTGTAACTATTAAACTCTGCCATTGTAGTGTAAAAGCACCTTGGACAATAAGTGAATGAACAGACATGACTATGTTCCAATAAAACTTTATTTATAAGAAAAGGCTGTGGGTTGGATGTGGCCAGCATACCTTGTACAAGGCTTTTCAAGCTATTAAAATATTTCACACTCCTGTGCCTCCTTTCCTAAACCTTTAGGAATCCTGATTGAAGACACCAATTTGCATAATAAATGTTGCCATGAACCACTCTCAGCCTGACTGCTAAATCCCTGCCCTTTGGATTCCAACAACATTCTTAGTAATGATGTCCCCACTTCCCTCTGCTATAAAGCTCATTCTTGATGGCCTTGGTGAACATTTGGGGCTTGACTTTCTCTAGAAGCTAGATTATTAGAAGAAGTTGAGGGCAAAATCTCTTAGGTCTTTGGGCACACAAGATTTGAAGACAGATAAGCCAGACAGGAACCTGAGATCTACTGCTTTTTATCTTTGTAGCTAGAGTCCTTTACTCTGAGCAGTCTGAGGCATGGACAAGAGGATGCCAACCAAACCAGAGTTTTCATCTCAGCCACGTTTGTCAAGGGTTGTCACCAATCTATTAGTGAGTAAAGATAAGATGTATTTTGCTGTGTGTTTTATTCCAGTGTCCCAGTTGTACTTGCATAACAAACCATCATAAACTTAGTGTGTTATAGCAACAACAATCATTTATTTTACTCATAAAACTGTAATTTCTGAGGGCTCAGTGGGGACTGTGCATCTCTGTTCTTCACAATGTCCACTCGGGTACCTTGAAGCCTATGACAACTCAACACCTAAAGGCTGAGCTCTTTAATATTTCTTCCTTAATGTGTCTGGTAGTTGTTGCCAGCTCTTGACCAGAACATCCACACATGACCTTTCCATGTGACTGCCTTGAGCTTCCTTCCAGGATAGTAGCCAGTGTCAAAAGTGAGCATCCAAAGAGAACAAGATAGAAATGCATGATATTTTATGACCTAGGCTTAAAAACACAACTTTACCATATTTTATAGTATTTGGGGCAGTCAAAAGTTCCACTGAGGTCAAGGAGATATAGAACACAGACTCTACTAATCGATGAAACGCATGTCACTGTCACCATCACATTGCATGAAGAGCAGGATGGATATAATATAGTGGCAGCTATTTTGGGAAAATTCAGTCTTCCAAACAGTATAACTTGAGCTGTTTTCAGCCAATATTTTATCATCTTCATAAAACCTCTAAGTTGGAATTATATAAGGGTTCCTGATATGGGTAGAGACTGCCTGACTAAAAATCAAGATTTGAGTATTTAGATGACCCCAAACAGATGAAGAATCCTCATTCATGTCATTTCTTCTCCCTATAACTTATTTCCTTCCTCTTTTTCTGTGAAACTCCTATTTGTATTTTATATCTCAGCCTAGAAGTTATTCCTTGATATGTCTTGCCTCCTAAGTGCTCTTAAGTGTAACTACTTGGCCATTTATCTGGCCCCTGTGCAGACCACAAGTGGTAACAGGGTGTGAAACCCTGCCTGTGTCATTCACCATTCAGTTCTCAGCACAGACACCCTGCCTAGCACACAGCAGATGATCAATAGTGCACTAACGGATTGAGTGATCAGTGCTAATGGGCCAGTGGATGTCAAGAAAATTGATTGATTCTTCATAAACAATTTTTTAGCTCTTTTGAAATAGCAGTCATTTTATTAGTTACTGGGGTTAAATGATAAAGTCCCAGTTAAGCTCGTGATCTAGTTAGGGAGATGTGTGGTTCTGATAATAATTTATGTTTATTAGTTCTTACTTTATATCTCTCATCCTTTTCATGTAATGTGGTGATGGTGACATATCTCTCATCAAGAGTGGTAGATTCTTTTTTTTTTAAAGTGATCATACCATTGGTATTGTTCGGTAATTTTTCCCCATTAAATAACAAAGTGTACAGTCTCTACCTTGTGTGTGTGTGTGTTTGTGTGTATGTGTGTAATCTACCTAAGACTTTTTGATGACTACATAATATTCCTCATTGTTGCTATACTCTGATTTATTTGACCACTCCTGTATTTTTTTTGTTTTTTTTGAGACAGAGTCTTACTCTGTTGCCTGGGCTAGAGTGCTGTGGCATCAGCCTAGTTCACAGCATCCTCAAACTCCTAGGCTCAAGCAATCCTTCTGCCTCAGCCTCCCGAGTAGCTGGGACTACAGGCATGCACCACCATGCTTGGCTAATTTTTTCTATATATTTTTAGTTGGCCAATTAATTTCTTTCTATTTTTAGTAGAGATGGGGTCTTGCTCTTGCTCAGGCTGGTTTCGAACTTCTGACCTTGAGTGATCCTCCCGCCTCGGCCTTCCAGAGTGCTAGAATTACAAGTGTGAGCCACTGCGCCTGGCCGACCACTCCTGTATTTGATGGACATCAGGTTGCCCGTAGATTTTCACTGTTATAAACATTGCAAAAAGGACATCTCTTTACGGCAGCCCCGTTGAATGTAGGATGGCATTGCTGAATTGAACGTAGGCCCATTTGAAATTCTGGAAGAGACTACTACATTACCTTCACAAATGTCATAAATGTCACCAATTTATATTGCTACCAAATACATTTGAAAATAATATTGTCCCCACACCCTGGATACTATCAACTTTATTCATTATCTGCCAATCTTTTGAGCAAAATGTAATATTCTACTATCATTTTCATTTGCATTTATCTTAAGACCTGATTTTGAGAATTATGTTCTTCCAACATAAATAAGGATTGTCTAAGATTAGAGTTTTATAGTTTCTCTAAATACCCCTCAGGTTTCAGTAATTCACAGATTTGAATGGTTGAACTTCTTTGTTTATAAATCCTGAAGTAATGGAAAATTTATAAAGAGCTTATACTTTTTGTTATATCTGACATTTAATGAAAAATCATGGGCAAGATTGGAGATTGGGATGAACAGTGTTTCTGAGATTAACTGAAATCTCTTATCCTCTTCTTTTCATGTGTCTGGTCTTCCATGTATTGATTAAGCCTCCATTTCTCTGATATTGGAATGGGAAGAGATATTTTACAGTCTCAGTCTAGGTTCAATATTGCCATTATGCCTAGCATCATATTCAGTGTTTGAAAATCAGAAATTTTAGAGATATCTGATTTGTACTTATAGGGATGACTTTCATTATCAATTTTTGGAACCATTATTCATATTTTTCAAAATTGTCGGATCACCTTCAAGAAATATTTGTGTTATAATTCTAATTAGGTTGACCCTATATTTTTAACTGCTTACTAAAGTATAGCATATGCTGCAGACTGAATATTTATTTGTGTTCCCGATAATCCATATGTTGAAACGTAACCTCCAATGTATGGTGTTTGGAGGTGGGGAGGTGATTAGGTTATGAGGATGGAGCCCTCATGAATGGCAATAATGTACATATAAAAGAGACCCCAGAGCTCCCTTGTCCTTTTCCACTATGTGACAACATAGCGAAAAGACAGCTATACGTTAACCAGGAAATGAGCCCTCCCCAGACCCTGAGTTGGCTGATGCATTCATCTTGGACTTCCAGCCTCCAGAACTGTGAGAAATAAATTTCTGTTGTTTATAAGCCACTCAGTCTAATAGTATCCTGTTATAGCAGCCCAAAATGGACTAAGAAAACATACATGTAGAAAAGTGTAGCAGCTACAAATCTACAACTTGATTAATTTTCACAAATTGTACACACACACATGTTACCAGCACTCAGACTGAGAAACAGAGTATGACCAGCCCCTGTGCCTTTCAGTCAGTATTCCACAAGAGACTTTTAATAGCATGGATTAGTTTGCTCTTTTTGTTCTTTATGTACATAGAATCATACAGAGTGTACTCTTTTGTCTCTGGCTGGCACTCTATCTTTTTAAATACTTTAATAGATCCACAGCTAACATTTAATAAGCATGATGCACAAGGTATGTTTATATGCATTGTATTACTTTATATGCATTATATTAAACACAGGTGTGTTAACTACGGATCACATTGTTGTATTTTAAATTTTACTTTGAAGCAACTCTATAGTTTGTATAAGAAATGTCAAAGATGTATATTTTTTGTGTATCTAATTTATACATTTTCTTTTTTTGTAAATACTTTATTAAAATCAGGAACCTCTTCAGAGGCAGAATTGCAAAGAGTGCTCCCCATCCTCTTTGCATCCTCTTTGCAGTTGAGGTTTGTAACTATCCTTTAACAATACATGTTAAAATGTTCTTAGGATTCTCTGCAGTTATGCTCCCAAATATATCATTTTAAACTGAGCACTTAAAATTAATGCTATGAAGCTTTCGAGATGCCTTGATAAATCAGTGTTCCAGTTCACGCTAGGTGAGAAGGGCAGTGGGGATTAAACAGTCCCCTCTGTCCATTTCCTTTTCAGGAAATGATGACCTATTGGAAATGACATAAATCACTCCTCTTCCTAAATTAGATTAAAATTCTGAGGTTTAAAACTTGCCTTTACCTACAGAGTCACAAGTCTAATATTAGACTTGTGGCTTTCTCATTTCCCCACAGGGGAAGTTTTGCTGATACTCACAGGACTGAAAAGTTCTGTGTCTATTACTGAAGAGGTTGTGCCCTGTACTAAAGCTAATTCCAAAAAAAGTAGGCACCATATCTCTTATGAAAGATCCCCTGGGGAATAATCACAAACAGATTCTGTAATTAGGTATTTACACATGTGACTCTGCCCAAGGATCCTGCTTTCAGCCTAACTTATACTTAGGCTTCCTTCTCTTCCGTGCCAAAAATTGTATTTAACCTCATTTATCTGACTACCCTACTTGGAATTTTCTAATCATGTAATTGGAGATCAGTAAAAAAATGTTTTTTTGAAACCATGTCTGACAACAAACAAGAAGAAAAAAATGGTTATCATCATTGGCAAATATGGAGAATTTGATTTTCCAATGCTAAACGAACATATTTTCTCTGGAAAGATTTGAACTCATGCCTTGCTTTGCAAAATACCTCAGCCATTCAACCTCTGATGCTCTGATCATAAACAAAAGTTCGGCAGTTCTATAAGCAATGAGGAAGCCAGAGTTGGACCTCAGGGGTTTCTTTGGTGTTGGGATTTTAAGATGGCCTTCTAAGTTCCATGGAACAGGAAGTACTTCCGTATGCTTCATGTATAGCATGGAGCCTGACCATGAGTGGATGTTCAGAAAACATCTGCTTAATACGAAAGAGGCCACAGTTAAGCCCTCTGGTAAATTCGATGTTAACTTATGGGGGAAAGAAATCACTGTAGTTAGTGAGAAGAATGCAGCTGCTTTGCATGGGACAGACATTGACTTACTGGTTGAAGGAAGCCTTCAAGGAGGGCATTCTACGAGTGGTCAAAAGCATATGCTTTGGAGTCATACAAATGTTGGCAAATACTTTAAAAAATGTTTAGGATATTTTTTAAAGTAAACTATGTCCTGTGCAACATTTAACATATACTCATGCTAAAAATTATTTGTTGTTTATCTGAAATTCAAATTTAACCAGGCACCTTGTTGTTGTGTTTGTTTTGCAATTCTAACTCAGTCCTACTTACCCCATTTCTAT